TTGTTCCTCCCACGGTCTTCTGGCGAGCTAAGAAAATGTTTATCTCCCTGAGCCTGGCCTTCATAATTCCATTCCATCACGTAAGCAGAGTTCAACCAGTTCTTACCTGGCTCTTGAATTTTGGGGGGGTTTACTTTGTTTACATATTAAATCGTTTCAATAAATAAATCAACAAAGCTTAAAAAAAGGAAATGCTTTGTGAAGAAGCGTCCGAAAAGAGGAAGCCTCTTCTATCCAGCTTCCGATGCCCCTGACCCTAAGGGTCTTCCACCCCCTTTGCCTCCCCAGACAATTTCCCGTGCCACTTCCTTGCTGCATTTGGAGCCGGCTTCTGTGCTACGGTGGTGGCGTCGCCTGTGGATGTGGTCAAAACGCGGTACATGAACTCCTGCGCTGGGCAGTACAAGAATGCCTTGAATTGCATGCTGACCATGGTGGTGAAGGAGGGACCAAATGCCTTCTACAAGGGGTAGGTGAACTGATCTCCTTTCCAAGAGGAGGTGCTTCTGGTCATCCCCCACCCATACGCATGGTCCCCCAGAGACCCTCCTTTGAGGACAACTCCTTGAAGGCCACCGGGGCTCCTTGTCTGGGGTCAACAACAGCAGGGGATGGGCATAGGCATACGGTTTCTGCTCCTCTTCCCTTTGGGGAGAGGGTGTTCGGCGGTGGGAACCAGTGTATGGTGAAAAAGTCATGATGGGGGCCATGATGGTGTGATTGAAGCTCCACCCACTTTAGGGGCATCGTTGTGGCCTCCATCTTGACTTTTTTGGCCACACCCTGTGGACACCCCTGGTGGAGGTCTTGGTTGGCAATTTCAGGGCGATAGCTTTGGTATGGCTTTGGGTCTCATCTTCTAGCAGATGGATGGGTGGGACCATGGTACCAATCTTCAGTCATTGTAGTTAAAGGGGGCTTTGGGTTGAACACAGGCATGTCTCCTGGCCACCCATGGCTCAGGTGGTCCACTTTTGAGAAAGGGCATCTGCAGGAGGGGTCAAAAAATCAAAATAGCAGCCATGACCTCATGATCAGAGGCCCATCACATCAATGCAGGTAAAAAAGGAGGTGGTGCTTCAAACACATCATTGTGGCCACATCTTGACTTTCTTGACTTCCCACCCCTCGCAGGTGCTTCTGCACTCTCCAGCAGTCAAACTCCTTTTCTTTTCTGTTGTTCCAGCTTCATGCCTTCTTTCTTGCGGCTGGGATCCTGGAACGTGGTGATGTTTGTGTCTTACGAACAGCTGAAAAGGATGATGGTTTTGGCCCAGGTGTCTTGGGAGGCCCCCTTCTGAAGCTCTGCATCATCTCTGGGAGATGGCGGAAGCAGAGCCGGCGAAGGGTCTCTTCGAGGCAAACAGAGAGGAGAGAAATGCAAGGGGTGACTTTACAGAGGAACTTTCTGCCAACAGTTCTTGCCATGGCGGCAAGGGAAGCCTATCAATTATATTAATTGCTACAGATGGGTTGTGTTGCCCAGTAATGCATAAGGCCTAAGGCACTGCAAGAAGACTATATGTCATATAAACAAGCCAAAAAGGATACAACTGGACATTGATCACACATCCTCACTCAGCAGAGCCATCCGGGTGTGAATCAGATATCACGCGGGCTCTGCAAAAGGATTCCGAGAGGTAAGGATCATAAAATGTAGCAGTACCACGCTATCCTAGCATGATATATACTTCTGAAACGTGTTAGAGAAGTGTTTCTCAACCTTGGCAGATTGAAGATGTGTGGACTTCAACTCCCAGAATCCCCCAGCCAGCATGCTGGCTGAGGAATTCTGGGAGTTGAAGTCCACACATCTTAAAGTTGCCAAGGTTGAAAAGCACTGTGTTAGACTAAAAGTTTGAAAAGATTGATAAATGAGGTAACGTTGCAAACTAAACGAAATGCAGTGAAAAAGCCAACAGGAAAATGGAAGTAAACGTTTCAACTGCATGTTACGAAGCAAAATAGGAGAACAAAGTCAAACTGGCAGGGATCTAGAAGGTCTTGCAATAAACTTAACATCTTCTGTCTAAGCCTGTTTGGAGCAGCAAAGGAAAATGTTTTCTCTGGACCTCTGCAAGGTTACGGTTGTTCAAGAAGTTCTAAAACTAAACAACTCCTTCAAGGGGGTACAAAATGTTACAGGTTCTGACTCCCCAAATTGAAAAAGGGTGGTGTTTTCTTTTGTTTTCTCATAGCAAATAATAGACACAGCAGTCAAGCACTTTTGTCCCAGCCTACCTCTGCCATTTTTTAAAAAATAAAAATAATTCTCTTGCTCAACTTTTCTGTAGGAAGGGTGGTAGGGAGCACATAGCCTAGCCCATTGCTCCTCCTACTCTGATAACATTAAGATGAAAAACAAAAGAATAAGGGCTGCTTTAGAATTTCTGTAATTTCAAGTTTTGTTCATCAGAAGGTCCCGAACATTGATTGACTGACTGATTACCTTGTTCCATGTTCAGAACATTTTTAAAAAATGCAGAACCCTCGACTGCTGTGGCTAAACTATCTTCCTTTCTGCTTTTTTCTAGTGAAGGAACCCGTGAGAATGAGAGCCTGTTTTCTGAAATCCTGCCAGGAAATCAACTCCAGTGTAAAAATAAATTATATGGGGAAGCAAATGCCCTCTCCCCACAACAGACTTACAATGATCAAATCAAAGCCATTTGCCATGTCTCCAATATTGTATTTTTCCCCTTTTCTCCCAATAAACTTTTTAAAAAATATCTTGCAGAATGTCTCAGATTTATATCAGTATCGTTTAATTCAGCAGCTGCCTCAGAACAAGGTTTTGGTTTTTTTTACAGAAGCCAGAATTCATACAAAAATGGGGTGGATTAAAATAACATTTTTTTCTTCAAACATGTAGAGATGTTCCTCCAAATCACATTGCAAAAGTCATGACTGTTTTCATAGTGGAAACTTTCCAGACAGGGTTTGCATTACATCAATGGTGATCAGCTCTTGATCCCCTCCAAAACAGCTGTCATCATCGTCATCATTATTATTAAGCCATTTTCATCTGATCATGTAAAAAAAGGGCAATATTTGGTGATGCGAAATATCCTGTTTTTTGGGTTTTTTGTGGGAGCAATTCAAAACTTCAGTCTTGAGTGGCCCTCAAGGACTAGTAACAGGATCAGACCAATAAGTATTCAAAATATTCCAGTGAAGGCTTTATTTTCTTTTAGGACAATTTGCTCTGGAATGTATGGAAAGATTCACAGCCTGGTTCTCTTCCACTTCCAACAGTGGACTTTTCTGAGTTAAGGAGAGGCTAAAATCAGTGTTTTTCAACCTTGGCGACTTTAAGATGTGTGGACTTCAACTCCCAGAATTCCCCAG